CCCCCCTCCCCCCTTCCCCTCCCTCTCCCCCCCTCCCCTCCTTCCTTCCTTCCTTCTTTTCCCTTTTCTTTTTATGAGCATTGGTGTTTTGCCTGCATGTATGTCTCTGTGAGGGTGTCAGGTCCCCTGGAACTGAAGTTATAGACGGCTCTGAGCAGCCATGTGGGCTGGGAATTGAACCCAGTTCCTCTGGAAGAGCAGCCAGTGCTCTTAACTGCTGAGCCATCCCCTCAGCCCCAGGTAAAAAGCATTTTAGCAGCTGAACTCTACAGAACAATGGAAGCTAAGTCATTTGGTGGCAGCTGTTTATTTTGATGACAGAAAGGTTTCTAAGCTATATTTTATCCACATTTCTTTAGAAAATGAGTTATAAAAAGGCTAAAACATAGTATTTATTTTTGATCTTTCAAGGTTGTATAGTGACACTGAGCCATCATAAAGCAGAAACTGAGATGCAGTTACATAGTAGAGATTTGCCTATTTAGATTGGAATGTTTGTTTGTTTGTTTGTTTGTTTGTTTGTTTTGGAGCCAGTGCTTTTAACTGCTGAGCCATCTCTCCAGCCCCTAGACTGATTTTTAAAAACAATTTTGTTTTGTTTTGGTGACAGCCTCATGTAGCATGGGTTGGTTTCAAACTGGCTACGTAGTCCAACAGGCCTGCTCCTGAGCCTCCTGCCCTTACCTCAGTGCTGGGAGCAAGGTGCGAGCCGCCATCCCTGGTCTGTGCGGTGCTGGGGTTCAAACTCAGGCTTCGTCCACACTAGATAAACACCCTGCAAACGAAGCTGCATATTAGCCCTGAAAGATGTCTTTTCTAGCCTCCGTTTCACCGTCTTGACCTTCTGTTTCTGCTGTCAGTAGATCTGAACATCTCAACTTTTTGGCGTTCCCTTCAGCCTGCTTTTTTTTTTGGGGGGGGGCAGTTAAAGGTTGACATTAGATAGATGTACTTGTGAAGCCCATAACTTAATTCCCAGATTAGCAAGCCGCCTCTGCCTGCGGCTTCTCTGGACCCTCTTCTGGCTTTGTACTTTCCTTAGAGCATGGCCTCCAAGTTGCTGAGTTCCTTTGCCTGCACACTCCCTCTGAATGGTAACATGCTGCCGGCCTAAGCGACCAAGCATAGGAAAGCTCCTCATCCGTTTAAAGAGATGCCTTTTTATTTGGCAGGGGTAGGGACAGGGTCTCTGTGTCGCTCTGTCTGTCTCAGTATGTAGACCAGGCTGATCGACATGGTGGCTCCAGCTCACAGAGATCCCCCTGCCTTTGGCGGCAGAGTGCTGAGAGTAACAGTCTCATGCCACCATGCTTGGCCTTGAAGAGAAGCCAGTTAAAGTCCCAGTTAAGAAAGGCTCTTCTCGTGGTTTAACCTGTAGCTTAACCGTTTTATCACCTCATGGTTTAACCTGTAGCTTAACTGTTTTTATCACTGTGTAGGAGCAGCTGCTCCATCAGAGAACCAGCATCTTCCCTTCACCGACTTCCTCAGCGACGCTGCAGAACCTACTCGGACACAGACTCTTGTACTGACGTTCCCCCTGAAGACCCAGACAGTGAGTTCCACAGCTCTGGCCCTCTCTCTGGCCACCTCAGCCGAACTGGTGCAGCTCCTTGTAGTTTCTGGGACTGAAGCACACTGTCATTAGATGTCACTGGAACACTGTGCTTTGCTCTTAGGTGAATTCCTCAGAGGGAAGTGAACCCGCACAGTCCCGCAGCCGCTCATGCACTCTCTTCCCAGTGGCATTGTTCCTCCGTTCAGTGTGTTAGGAGTTGTTGGAGATCGGGGATAGATACTTTCTCTTAAAGACCTACCTATTGAATATGTCTTTATTCCCACTACGTTTCTGTTTCAAAGTGTTATAGAAAAATCATTAATTGTAGGTAGAGTTAAACGGGGAAGTAAAGGTCTAAATCCACAGAGAAATTAGGTACCTTACGTGATTTGTCTGCCTCACGATGGCTAAAGAAAGTATTTAGTGTGGTTGTTGTAGGCAGCACACACCCATGTACTTTCCTCCCTTGTTTCAGGGAAGTCTAGTGATTTCCTTTAAGATCTCTACTTGTCTCTAGGGAGCAGTTTTCAGTGTGTCAGGATGTACCTTGTTTGATTACAAGGACCACGGTTTCCAGGGAAGACAAATGTCACCTTAGGCTTACATCTCCGTGACTAGACTCTTACTGGTTAGAGCCCTTATGTCCCATGAAACACGTGGGAGAGGTCCCAAGTAAGGGACACATTGTTCTTCAAGAGTTCACTGGACGTCTGGCCTGTGGATCTGATTTCTGTATGGAAATGACACATACACGGTGGCTAGGCTCTCCAGACCGCCGGGTCTTACTGTGGTGAGCCATGGTGGTGCCTCTGTTTCTGAGTAGGTGTCAGAACAGTAGGCTTTCTTCACTTACCTAGCACCTTGAGCAGGCTCGGCTGGAGGGAGGCCTAGTATGGGCTCCCGGATACGTTTTGAAGAACTTTGTCCTCTTTTCATGTGTTTGTGTGTGAAGCGTGTGCGGATTTGCATATGGCCCAGGCTGGCAGTCTTCTCTCACTGTTTACTTTGTTCTCTTTGGGAGTAAGGGAGTGTGTTTTAAGACAGGGTTTCCCTGTCTTACTCTGTACTCACTCTGTAGACCAGACGGCTTCCAGCTCCTGGATTTTCCTGCCTCTGCCTCCCTGCTGAGCATAAAGGCTCAGCTTTCACGTTCTTTTTGAGGCAGGGTCTGTAATCAAGCTCAGAGCTGGATATGGCTAGGCCCAGTAGCCAGCTTATGAAGCAAGCACTTTACCTGCCGGCCATCTCCTTAGCCAGTTGTGTTTCCTGTATAACTCTGGCTGGCTTGTAACCCGTTATGCTAGCCTAGAACTTTTGGCAGTCCTGCTTCTACCTTCCCAATGTTGGAATTACAGGCATGCATTACCATACCTGGCTCATTTTTAGATATGTAGAAGGCAAAAACATTCACTAACTTAGTTGTTAGTTTCAAACAAGTCGCGTGTACATATCACACAGATTCACGTTTCTGTTTCCTTCAAGCTTCTGCATTGGCGAGGTGAGAAGTGTCATCCTTCAGGTTCTTTCTGTTTATGTTAAACTTAACAGTTTATTTGACAAAGCAGAGGATTAGTGTATCTATGTGTTACTCTTATGCATATTGTAATTATTAGTTGACAGTTATTTTGAAGACAGTATCTCTTTTTAAATTTATTTTTTTAATTTATTCACTTGTATCCCAGCTGTAGCCCTTTCCCTCCTCCCTTCTCAATCCCACTCTTCCTCCCTCTTCTCCTCCCATGTCCCTTCCCCTAGTCCACTGTTAGGGGAGGTTCTCCTCCCCTTTCCTCTGACCCTAGCCTGTCAGGTCTCATCAGGACTGGCTGCATTGTCTTCCTCTGTGGCTTGGCAAAGCTTCCCCCTTCTCCCCCAAGACAATATATTAGAGCCCAGGTTGGTCTTGAACTCTGCATTGGAGGCTGACTGAATTCCTGATCCTTGTGCCTCTGCCTGACTGATGGGATCACAGTCAAGTACCACCATGCCTGATTTATGGGCCTTGAACCCATGGCGTCCTCAGTGTAGTCTGCCCCTGAGCTTCCACCCTGGTCCAGCCAAAAGTTGTTATATGAGAATATTCTTCTTGTGAGATGTTTTTGGTTTTGAAATTTGCTTTTAAAAATAAAAGTAAAACAAATCAAATGCGGTGGCTCTTTCGGAGGCCGAGTCAGAATTACTGTGAGTTTGAGGTCAGGTGGAGGTGTATCCTGAGTTCTAGGCCACCCTGGGCTACAGACTCAAACCTTGTCCCAAAGAACAAAACCTAGGTAAGTAAGTAAATCTAAATAAAACAAATGGGGGAGGGAAGCCTTGGCAAATTCCGACAAGGCAAGGGAAGTGCAGCCACTGTGAAATGGGTCCCCACCGCCCTGCCTTTGGCCGAGTTCCCCTGAGCGTCGCTGGCAGCCGTGAGCCTTGTGGAAAGGGGGAAAGTCCGACAAAAGTCGTCTTAGCTTTGCTCAGGGGGCTCAGTTCTGTTGGTAAATGTGTGGTCCTGGAAAAATCACAGATGGTTTTTGAGTCTTTGTTCATAGGCAGGTACTAACAGCGTAAGACCATCAGGCTGAAAAGCAGAGTGAGGTTAAATTCATCGCAGCAGGGTGAGAGCACGCAGAGTGCCAGCCTTGCTTCTGGCAATGTGCGAAGCAGTCCCTGCCTCTGGTAGTTTCGGAACTTACCTTAGCACCACTGAGGTGTCTCCTTGTGACTGCCAGGGATAGAAAAGTGAGTTTTTCTATCAAACCAAAGGGTATCAGGAAACTGGTGGCATTTTGTTTCTCTGAACAGGCCTGAGGTGTTCTCTCACAGAGGCCCGGAGTCAGCATTTCGTAGATGTTGAACCTGTCCATCACTTTCCACAGGACCTCTTCACTGTTCAGGAAACTCACTTAATGGGGATTTGGCATCAGCAACCATTCCTGAAGAAAGCAGACTTATGGCAAAGACGCAATCTGAAACTGAAGAACCTCTTCCACCCTTCTCCTGAGGAGGCGGACGTGCCCAGCTTCCTCTGAGTGTTGCTATGCAAAAGCTGCTGTAACCACACTTGTTCTGGGGTAGCTTCCCCTCTCCTTAGGATCTCTCTGCACTTTATAGAATATTGTAAACAAACAGCCCACATACTTTTGAAGTGTATTTTATCTTTCTATAGTTTACTTGCAAGAGTATTTTCCTAATAACTTCACAGTATGAATGTGCATCTTTTTTTTTTTTTTTTTAAACAAATGATGGTGTAACATTTTGACATCCATAAGGACAAATGTAGATATTTTTCTAAAAAACTGTGAGGGACTGACAGCTTGGTCAGTGTGTATTGTAGTATATGAACATGAAATCTCGCCACGTTTGTTTGACAGAAATGTGATAGATGTACCTTGTGCCATGGACCAAAAGGTCACTTCACCCCACCTTGAACTTAATTACCTTAGCAGCTTGATGGTGATTGTATCATATTTCTTTTAGCAAAAAGGAAACACCTAATACTCTAAAGGTCTTTAGCCCAAATACCGTGACATACTGAGCATCTAAAAAAAAATCAGATTCTGCTGTCCTTCCGTATGTGAAGTTGACACTACTGATTTGTCGATACCAAACATCAGGTTACAGTATTTAATTTTTATTTATTCTTTTCTTACTTCATCAGAAGATGGTTATGTGCTAACTCGTATGACCTCCCCAGTTTAAGATGTATACCCATTGTTGTTATTTACATTGTTCAGGCTAAGAGAGGCAGGTGTCTCGGTGACCTTGTTAACTTGCACCAGAGAAATAAATGGCTTTCAATGGAAGAGGATTTTAGTGCTTTTTTAAAGCTGCTGTTGTAAGGTATCATTTGCAGCTCTTTGGCATATCTAGAGACATTTTTAATTTATGAATATTTATACAAAAAAGTAATTCTGTCAAGATGACTGTTCTATATATCACTTGAGAATGGCATTATTTAATTAAAGAACAATTTGCATTGTTTTGGTAGTGCCTGTCATATCTCTTCTCATGTTTGCCCTGTAATCTGTTTTTCTTTAAAATCACTTTGAGGTGATGATTTTATCCCAGAGTTTGAATGAGCAGCACTTTAACAAAAATTGGCTCCATGTTTTTAAGTTAGTCATATTTAATAAACACGTGATTTTTACATTCAAATTCATCATAAAATAATACATTGTATATCTTACATTCATTGATATTCTGTCTAGTCTTTATTAAATGACCTTAGTGTTCTTTATTGATTTTGTTTCAGTGTTCAAGCCCAAAGGTGAACATATATCAGCCCTCCGTTTAGCTTATATTTCCTCTCAGTTTAGAATGGGAGCCGAATCTTTAGGAAACGTTTGGTATTTACTTTTCCCTAAGTTTAAAATGATTAGGCACGTGTCTGTTTAGATAAACTGCTTCTAAAAGTGCTTGTTGTCTTCAATAGCAAATGGGTCATTAGAGCATTCTGTGTTCAGTGGAGTTGACCCACTCATAACTTGCATTTCAGTTTGGAAAAAATTGATGACATAGTAAGTTTTCATTCTGAATGTGTGGTCAGTCTTTGTTTCTTTTCTAAAACCATACGACTTGCAGATTGTGCTGTTCCCGATGTTTTTTGTTTTGTTTTGTTTTTTGTTGTTGTTCTTTTTTTTTTTTTTTTTTTTTTTTTGGTACTTGTTTCCCTTTACTGCAATAGGCTTATAACGAAAGTACTATAACAAGCTTCTGCATTTGTAGAAATATAGGAAACTTCATTTTCTGTTGCTTTAGCTGAACAGACAAGTTTGGGAATGATTTCTTTGTAAATGTTTTAAAAATAAAATGCAATCATTTTTAGTTTGCACTTTGCCCCCTCCGCATAGACACACTTGAAGCAGTGGCTTTGGTAGGTGCCCCTTCCCCTGAAACCATGACCTTGGAGCCCTTTGTCCTCGACACATACACATCTGTGGGATTAGTTTTTTGAGGGCGGTGTATACTTTGATTTATATGTAGATACTGAATTTCTTTTTCTCTGAAGCTCCTTTTATATTGATCGGACCAAGCCTTAGCTTCTAGGCTCAGGGTCCCTCCTGCTGTCTCTAGATCACTGGGACTGTGGGTGAACACAGCTGCCCCTGGCGACTGGCAAGGTTTTAACCTGTGAACCAGCAGCGTGGAGAACTATGGAGCTTAAGGGAATCTTACATTTGGAGGATCAGATTGTGCCTGGCTTCTTGGGGTTTTCAGGAAACAATGGGTCAAGAGCCATTCTGTGGGCACTTGTTCCTGGATTCTCTCTTGTGTCGTCTAGGACATGGGATTGTTGGGATCCTCGGAGACCCCTGACTTCTAAGCAAAACAAGTGCTTGCTTTTCATTTTTGGAGCTCCCTCTGTCTGCAGATCTTCCAAGACTAGTAGGATCTTGAGAACTGTTCTGTAAAGGAACTGAAGCTGAATTTTGTTGATGTGATTGTCTGAGCAATGAAGCACCATGATGAAAAGCAGTTTGGGAAAGAAAGGGTTTATTTAGGTCATGCCTCTGAGTCACTGTTTATTACTGAAGGAGGTCAGGACAGGAACTCAAACAGGGCAGGGGCCTGGAGGCAAGAGGAAGGGCCCTGCGTACTGGCTTGCTCCCCATGGCTTGCTTAGTCTACTTGTAGAGCTCGGGACCACAGGCCCAGGAGGCCCACCCACGATGGGCTGGGCCCTCGCCCATCAATCACCAATTAAGAAAATTAGCCCTAGCTGATCTTTTGGAGGTATTTTCATCATTGAGGTTCCCTCCTTTCAGATGACTCTAGCTTATGTCAAGTTGACATAAAACAAGCCAGGTGTTGGCCTATTTCCTCCATCTGGACAAGTCCAGAAATAGATTCTTAGTATAGAATAATGTCCACCAAACACTTACCACATAGGAAAGCTCCATTACCGTGGCAACACCCTACTTAAACATTCTGAGGACCCTCAGGAGACCATTCCTTCAAATCAGCCCTGAGGAATGGGGCAGAATATTCTGTCAGGATGTCTGAGGAGTGGAAAAACGTAGGTTTTGGTTTAGGGCCCCGTGATACAGTTTCAAGAAAAGTCTTGCCTTCACTGCTGCCCCCATCATGACCTGCTGGGTCAGGTAAGCAGTCTGTTTCCTGGCTTCTGTAGATCTCAGTAAAGTTTCAGAGTTTCTAGCCTCAGCTTTCTGAGAGGATGGCAAAATGGCTGCACTGCCAATGAGGTTTTGTTACGTTTTAATCAACTGAAGGAATTTTGCGGCTGTCCCTGTTCTAGAATTGAACTGCAAAATGGAACAAAGCGCAAGCTACTTCACCCAAAACAAGCCCTGTCTCTTACCCCCTCACAGCTCCAGGGGTTTGGCTTTGGGGGTGAGGAAGTGGTGGCAAGACTTTGTGGCTTCTGCTGATCCAGGTCTGCAGCTCACTGAGTGACTTTGGGCTTTGTGCTGGTTAGCTGTTGTCAACTTGACAAAAATCTTGAGTTACCTGTGGGAGGAAGGGTATCGGCTCAGGATCCCCAAGACCAGCTTCTCAATGCAAAGGAGATGTATTTGCCCCAGAGGTACAGAGGGCAGGGATAAGGGACAAAGATGGGACAGAGAAAGAGGGAGAAAGGAAAGGGAACAAAAGAGGGAAGCAAAGTGCAAGGGAGAGGAGGCAGGGATATTTGTCCAGAGCTGGACAAAGGACTGCCCCAGGATAGACAGACGTGGCACAGAGGAAAGGGCAGTTTATAAAGGCCCAAGGGGCTTTTTTGATTGCCAGACTTATGTACTTTGATTGCCGCACCTTGGTAGCTGGCCTCAGGAGGAGGAAGTAGCCAAATAAGGGAATAGATCTTGGTGGCTAGCTTTAGGAAAGTAATCCCAAGGTTTTTATTAAGGCCAAGGGAGTGGGAAAGAAGGGAAGGGCCTACCAGAAGCATGCTCACCACTATCTTGCTGGCCTGAGTCCCTTAAACCTGGGAAGAGGGAAGCTGAATTGGCTCCATCAGGTGGGCCTGTGGACGGCCTGAGGAGCATTTTCTTGATCATGATTGATGCTGGTGAGCCCAGCTCACTGTGGGAGGTACCACTCCTCCACAGGTGGTCCTGGGTTGTTTAAAAAAGGAAGCAGGGGAAGCCACAAGCAGCTAGTCAGTAGTTGCCTTCTTCAAGAGTCGCTGCTTCAGTTCCTGCCTCAAGATCCGGCCCTGGCCTCACTGGATGGACTGATTGGAAACTGTAAGTGAAACAAATATTTTCTTGCCCTAAGTTGGTTTTAGTCAGTGTTCTATCACAGCAGCAGGAAAGCAAACTGCAACGGAAATGTTAGCCCTGGACGCTGCATGTCTGTGTCCTTCCACTTTGAGCCTTCCTGCCTCTATATCTCCTCTGAGGAGTTCTCTGTAAGGGGGCTTGCTCACACAGACAGGGTAGTTCCGCTTCCTGTGTGCCTGCTAGCCAGATGGGCCTGTTGATGCCTTCTTCCTCCCACTTGAGTTCTAAGCAGCGAAATGGAGGTAGAGGAGGGAGAGCTGCCCTCACTGTGGACATGGATCAAGTTTCACAGCAGATTGGGCAGCTGTTGGCACCTTTCTTCATCACTTGACCAGAATATCAAAGCAGATTACGGTGTTTCTTGAGCTGGCAGCTGCCAACTAAAAGCTGACTTCAGTCATGTGCAGCAGGTTTGGGGAAGAATTCTGACCCTCCTGTTACTCTAACGCTGTTGGTACTAAGGTTCCCTTGAAAACCTTGGGGTTGTCCCCTTAAACTCAGGAATTTCTACCTAATTCCTAGCTAGAAACCTTAGTCCCTGAGGCTGCGGTGGTTCAGGGGTGCCTGACACAGGTGTGTTAACAGCCTCTCAGGACTGCATAAGGAAGAAAGGGGGTTCAGAGCACAGGTGTTTCAGGTGGTGGTCGTCACTTCCTGAATCTCGTAGGAATGTCTCTGTTAACACATATCTGGAGGAACAGAGGAAATGCTCGGTAATAGGCAAAGGCCCAAGTCCAGGCCTTCGTAATCTATAGCTATGGGATGCAGCTGCCTGGACCACCCAACGGTCAAAGTCCTGTGTACCAACCCAGCTTTCTCCTGATGCAAGGAAGCTGGACTTTGCCAATTTTCTAAAAAAAAAAAAAAAAAAATCATTTGGTCGTGATACTCCTTTATCTTCCTGGAGCACCGTCTCAGAACATTTTTACTGGGTTTGGTCGCCATGGAAACGATGGTCCAGGTCTTTTAACTGACCGTTTCTGCTTTATTATCTGCTTCCCTCCTGCCATGGGCTACCATTGTGTAACCCATGACTATTGGATAGAGGACACCCATATTTTGCAATATTCCATCAAAATGTTTCTGTGAAACTACATATGCCTGCCATTTCTAGCGTTACAGGTTGAATTTTGACTCTTCTCCTAAAAGATAGGTTGGATCCTCAACCTCTCCAGTACCTCAGGATGTGACCTTATTTGAGATACAGTGAGGTTCCGGTAGAGCCTAACCCAGCATGGCTGGTGCCCTGTAGGGGAGAGAGAAGTTGGGAGATGGACACGCATGACCTCGGGCGTGGGTTTCTCCTCTCACGGCTGTCGGGAACAACTCTGCAGTCACGTAATTTTGGGTTTCTCATCCCCTGAACTGAGTTATTTCTTCTGTGCAAGCCACTCACTGGCGCTTGTTTGCATGCCCTCGCCAACTCACCCATTTGGTGACCCCCGGGAAGGCGGCAGGGTGGCTCCCCTCTTCTATGTGGTGGCCCTCACAAGAACTTGCTCAGCTATGGTGGGTGCCGCGCTAGGCACTGCTACATGAACTTTACATGCCATAACTTGCCTAGTGCCCCCAACAATGTTGCTAGTGTCCCATCTCCCAGACGAGAACGCCGAGGGATGGGGAAGTTCGATAACCAGCTTCGATAACTCCTTCAAATTAGTGAGGAGAGCCTAGGTTTGGGTTAGCGTTCAGGCTGCCTCACGTGTCTTGGATGCAGACGTGGCGTTTCAACATATTCCCCTTGCTGTGTAACCAGGGCGTGGGCTATAAATCCCAAAGGAAAGGAAGGGCAAGGTGGTACTGGTGACAGCAAGTCGTGCGAGTTGGAATCTGGGGGTCCTGCGTTTTTCTGTCCTGCCCTCCGTTGGCCCCTGTCGAAGGGGACAGGGAGAGGGAAACAGTATGATGTGGAGATGGAGCACAGAGCAAACAGGGACCAGCTCTCAGATGACTGAAGGTGGGAGCAAGGCATTTCACTTCAGTGGGAGGCACTGCTTTTGGAGGAGCTAGGAGGAAAGAGGCCAGAGCAGGGACAGTTCCACCTGTCTCCCAGGGCGGCCCTGTTAAGTGTACTCATCAGCAGTGTCATGTGGCCAAGCTGGAGCTTCCACTGAGGGGAGCAACGCAAATCAGGCCTTGGCCTCAGTACAGTCTCCTTCCTTTGAAAGCGGTTGCTGCCCTTCCCCTCCCCTAGCACGCCGAGGGCCTGGTATGTGACAGGGTGGGTGCAGTCATAGACTGTGGCTGATAAGCAGGCCATTGCCTGCACATCAAAACCAGAGTTCTCAGGGAATCACCTTTTCCAGCCTGTTTTTGCAGTGTGCGTGCATAGTTGCCTGTGAAGGCCGGACGGAGGACAATCTTGGGAGTCATTCCTCAGGTGCTGCCACAGTGGTTTTTGGAGGCAGGATCTCTCATTGGCCCCGGGCTCCCTGACTAGGCTGGGTTGGCTGGACTGCAAGCCCCAGGAACCCTCCTGTCCTTACCTCCCCACCAATGGGATTATAAATCCATGCCACCACACTTGGCTTCCTCTCTCGCTGTCTCTGTCTCTCTCTGTCTCACTCTCCTTTTTAATGGGGAATGAGTT